ATAACTAAAACTCATCACGCGAAAGAACACAAATAACCGTTTTTACAAGTTTAAAACTATTTTGCTGAAAACATATGTAGTATAGAAATATCAAAAATACTAGGAAGAATGTATGGTTTTTGTCATGGACGCTCGGCTGCTCAAAAGCTCTATACATTTTTTCTTTTTTTTTTATTTAAACGCTTGCCACTCTTAAATTATTCATCCAAATATCCTCAAACTCTGAAGCTATACTAAAATCTTTCACGTTATGGAATCCGTTTCTTGAATTTTAAGTTAATGTTGTGACTACGCACTCGCCGAGTTCTTATTGGTTCGTGTCTCGTTTTTTTCCCCAGCTATTGTCTATTACAGCGAAAAATTAAGAAACGAAAGGGATCGAAGTGGTGTATGGGAAATATGAATGTTATGGCGATTTAACGATTAGAGAGTTCATTATTATCATAACATAGCCTAGTAGGTATGGCTATAAAAGTCAACAATTCCGGTATGGTGCAGTTTCTCAGCGGCGATCTATTATACAGTCTACTATTATAATCATATTGACGGCAAGCTAATCTAAGTTTTGAATGTAACATCATGTCAGTTCTTCCCTSAAATGACGCGACATGAGGATAATTAAACTAGCCCACAGCAGTACCAACTTTTTCCATTTTACAGCAGCTGCATCAGCCCTATCCAAYATGCYTGCCGTCCGTGCGGCGGCTCCGCAACGAATCCAACTGAAGTTGATTCAAACGTGTGACTATAACCGGTGTATTTGTACTTTTCCGATCAAATTTAATTATCGGCAAAGAAAAAAATCCTCAATTTTCATTTTGAGGAATTTATTGTACATTGCATGACTATCAAATTGAAATTCTTTTACAAATTACCAAGCCTTGCATAAATTAATGTCTAGAATAAGATAAACTTGAACATGTTTGCTTTCAAATCTGGCCAAAATTACATGCGATTTCAAGTGATTTTTAATAAAAAATCGTTTTCGGAGGATTTCTTTGTATGGTGAAGTGTGGTGAAKCGATTGCTTTATTCCATGGCAGCGGTCTGGTCGTGATGCTATTTTAATCTTTTTGGTATCACGTGACCACTTGAATGCAAGATGTCTGCCATTTCGTTTAACGCTACCTCGCTTAGTTGTTCGTAAATCCGACTTTTGTCTCGCAACAAAACCATGCCCCAGAGGAAGGATTGAAGAAGGATTTACYTCCAGTGCGATGGCTKTAGCTAAAGAACAGTAGGAAAAGGARCAATAGGAGAAAAAGGCAGYGAACGAAGTCGCTAAAAAWKTTTGGGCCGGGCTGCCTATTTATTATTTGCTTTAGCCGTTGCTACGGCTATATATAATTTGTGACAGTTCGTATACAAAGGATCTGTGTGAAAAGAGAATATTTAGACACATTAGAGCGACATCAGCGGTTAAATGAAGCTATGAATTTGTAATCCGTTCCTTTGAGCATGTCAACTTATGCCCAAGGCAACGGCACAAGCAGAAAGATTTCGACTCCGAGTAAGCGAGCTTGGGAAGAAGAGCAACGTACTTTAAGCGATTCAAAGCGAAATTCATCTCAAAACGACTCAAATACGGTTCCAGAGAATTCCAATAGCTCTATAGCAACGACAAGAAAAGAGAGTAGTGTGAAGAGCATGGACGGTGCAGCGTCAGGAGGAGAAATTCGACTTAGAAGTGTTGAGCTTGGAGTCGAAGACGCAAACTTGCAGTCCGTCAATATGGCAAAAGGAGATAAAAATTCGTCTCAAATCGATAATACAAATGGAGAACTCACGGTATCTGTCAAAAATGGATCCAAATCGAGAGAAAAAGATTTGGAAAGGGCAAATAACAACGACGATGACGACGAATGCACTGATGATTCTTTTGTCGGTCACTGGAAATTGTTTACTCGAGTTTTGAAGTCCAAACGATTTGACTCCGARAAACTAGAAAGTCTCTATCAGCGATACCTCTTTTGCTTAAATCAAAAGTTTACAAGTTGGTTGGTAACTATTTTGGTAATTCTGTGTTTTTGTCTGGTCGGCTTTCAATTTGGAATGGAGGGACGCCATACCACGAATATCGAGGGATTTATTATGCTAGCTTTCACTGTAATTTACTTGATTCTTGCAGTTATAGTGAATCGGAGTGGTTCTTCCGATAAACAAATGTCAGACTCATCGCAAAAGCAACTTCGTTGGGTGTCATACGCTTTGTTGTTGCTGTCTTGTGGATTTGTTCTGTCGACGGTACTTTGCCCGATCGGTGATAGTGAGCGTAATAGAGGGTACTCGCCAACGGATGGAGTATGGATAACCATATTTTTTATTTATATGACATACACTATGCTGCCTGTCCGAATGAGAATCGCTGTATTTGGTGGATGCGTGCTTCTCACACTGCATCTCGTATCAAGCGCCTTCCAGAATTCAGAGAATGAAAATCTCTCCAGATTGGTAAGTTAATGATGAGATTTCCATGACTTGTGTGTTGTATCGTGCAAAGAACGCCGCTCACAGTACGCTTCTTTGAACGGTAACCATGCAAGCATTATTCGTCTTCTTGTGTATTAATTATTTAGGTATTCCTTATACTGGCAAATTTTCGCTCTTATTTCGATACTTGAGCGCAAAAAAGGGTATTTATAGAAAGCCTTCGTGGCCACATCTTATCAGAGAATGGACTGTTTTCTCTCACTAAACAATGCCATTTTTCAGCACCCCATGAAAGATATTTAAAGGTGTATTTCTCCCCTATTCAACCTAGCCACCAATAATTACATATATTTTTCCTGAATGCCTCGCCTAGGATTTACACTAAAAAACGTCTTTTTGCGTTGTAGCTAAATTATTAAAGCTTTCTTTTATAAGGATTTATCATATTTATAGGTTTGCGGTTAAGTTCATTTGTTATACATCTGCAAAAAAATCTGAAATTGTGTTTTGGCGGAAAGAAATACATAAAAATGGACACGCTTTTTMGAGCGAGCTTTTCCTCATTCCGGCCTTAAGTAATTTAAAGATTTATCGCTTTGTCTTTGTAAAATAGCCCGAGAAAATAATTGGTTTTTCCTACATTATGAAAGGACATACATGTAGTACATTGCACTCGTTTGGCGCACATTCGTATTCGAATTAAATTCCAAAACAAATAAGTTTGTTTTGAATAATTCATATTCAAGTACACTGGAAAAAAACTGTTTTGTTTAAAGATATTGTGGCGGATGTCGGAGGATCTGGATAAAGATATTCCTTAAATCTATCCATAAAATCTTCAAAGTCGATTTGCTTATTACTTATTATCTTTGCTGTATGTTAGGGGATGTGTATGTCCTCTCTGAAATTTAAATAACAACAGGGCTGAATATATTTTCTGCAAAAATAGCTCAACGGTTTTGACAGCTTTTTGGCACAGTTATGATTACCCATTGTATTTTTTCAGACACCTCCATACTGAGTTCAGTTTGCCAAAATTTGTGTGGTATTTTTCAAATTGGTTTAGTGCAGCCTTTTATAATGCTGTTCTTAATTTAAAGCTTGGCTGTGCAAAGCAATCAAATACGTCTTTAGCAAGTCAACAGCTCATGTGTGTAAAAATGACCAACACTTTTCTAAATGTTTTCACAGCATAAGTCAGCTTTAATAGTTATATTCTTTTGGGTTTGTGACCTAGCTATCTGTTGCTCTTTTCTTGTGTACAATAATACAATTTGTAACAAAAAATATTTACTATATTTCTCATTTAAGTTCTTTGCAAATTAACAGTAGATTTTTGACATTTTTTTGTTAGAAGTTTAATTTTTTTTATGCAAATTTTAAAGGAATACCAAATTGACCAGGTGCTAGAGATGCTAAAATGAGAATTTTTCAACTTTATTTTTCTCTTAGGACGTAAGTCTTCAAAAGTGACAAGAATTAATGAAAAATCAAACAAATATTTTTTTATGTTGTGGAAAAAAAGGGTATTATTTTCACCTTATTTTGGCAGGTTGTATTTTCTTACAGCTTGTTTATAATCACCATCTGCCGARTCAGACATGACTTCATCAACAGAAAATTTGGGATCACACTTGATCAAATTGTAGATGGCACAAAAACCTTGTTTTTTTATGTTTCAAATTGGTCACTAGYGAGAGTTCTTGGTGTAAGATCAAGTCGATAAGATTCTTTAGTTAAAAATTACATATGGAATTACATTTATTATTTATAACACATCTGATATGTTTTTCAGTTTGTCATTTGAAATGTTAGCATGATTTTTATTATTAAAATGTTAGTATTGCTGTATTGGTTATATACTCCAAGTATTTATAGTAAGAAGCATAGGAAAGATCTCTTCTAGTAGCAGTTTACAAGTAGGATTTACCTTTTGATAGCTCACAAGATTGTGATTGATGAAGATTTGTCTACACGGGTGCATATACAGAGGAAACATTAAACATAATTTACATTATTGCATGTCCTTTTCAGGTCATTTGTTGGGTCACAAAAACGTTTATAATTTATCCCAGAGTGCCACTTGCTAAGGCATTTTTGCTAGACCTTTTTATCTATTTCAACTTGAGATCGAATCTCTTATCAGCTCTTTTAATGGTTCACTTGTATTTGTGAGTAGACTGTGGAGGGTGTGTTCTTTAGATAGTCGAAATAAGGAAACACACATAATGTAGCGATCCATTGATGTTCAACTGTTCAACCTTAAGTAGTCAATTTAAAATTCACTTTTAATCTGATCAAATTCACGAAAGAAATCTTGTTGATAGGTTTTACCTAAAAAGCCAAAGCCAATGATCGCTAGATCTCACCAGGTTATAATCGTGAGTTTGTTCTTGTGGGGTAATCTTTGATAAATACTCTTACAATTGTCATGTAAGTTTCATTTTSAAAAGCTATTGAGGASAAGTTTTTTTTYTKGGTTTGTGTGCACTGTCATGACTATGGCAGAACATTATCGGTCATTACAAGATCTTTCTTTTTGGCTGGTTATTTAGAAGTACATGAACATCAATGATTGTCTAGGAGATATAATTGTATTACAAGTATGCCATCTCTGTCAATTATAAATTCTTATTTTTCATTATTCTTTTTTCATGTTTTTCTGAATATCCTTTTTCTTTCCCTCATGATATTTCCATAAATAACTCYGCTGATATGAATAAACAATAACATTTCTGGATGTCTAAACTAATTGACAGAAGAGCATTGTGTATATATCATGCCACTTGGTTGTGCAATCTTGTTTGGAAAGCTCTGTCAATTTAATGGATATTAGTTATCATGGTCAAGTTAATAATAATATTCCTTGCTGGGGAGCAAAAATTATATTTATAAAGTTGCTATTGTTTTATGTAAACAGCAATCAAAAATATGTGTTTTACAATCACCTAGATTTTGAAAATATCGATTAATATCTCAATATCTGAGAAATTGTAATAAGCTGTGTCATTATACCTTTAAAAAAAAGATGATAATATGGTAAACAGAATCAGTAATATAGAAAATTGTTTCCAATAAKTAAACAGCTGTCACTGTTGATGGCTTTTGCACTCATTTAACACAAAAATAGCAATATCAGTGCCAGCTAGAAAATTAGAAAATAACTTTAAAATGAGTCACCAACATTGACCTGCAGTAAATACAGACATGTACTCTCAGCGGTATTTATTGTTTGGTTGATTTTTTTTGTCTCTCTCAACCTTGGATAAAAAAAACATATCTGATAGTTTTTAGGTATTCATGTACATGAATGTTCTATTTTGAATCACTTTAAAATATCACCTTTCTCTCACCTTGTTTGTTCAATGAAAATATTCAGATAATTCTGCACTTAGGTAGTGCAAACTCTCAGAGATAACACAGCTTTGAGCATGAATACAAAACTTTAATATAATTTTGTACAGAATTAAGAAATATTGCAMCAAATTTGATATGAAATTGGAATAAACAGCYTTCACCAACGCAGAAAGCYTTTGTTGTGGWTTATAAGAAGAGAATACTRTAGTYCACCAAGAGTAGATTTGCCKTATTTCTTTTGAAGGTCAAGTTTAACTGAACACTTTCATACAAATAGAAAAGCTGAACATTTTTGCTTTAAAACTTTTAATTGAAAAAGCATTCTGGGAACTCATGGGTAATCTTTTGGTGCTCACTCCTCATTAYCAGAGTATGTTAATAATGGAATTTAGTAGGAAAATAAACATTGTTTGTAAGKTAGGATGATTAGTTTGGATACCCTGGTATTCATGTGTTATCAAGTCTATCAAATGGACATTCCCTTGGTAGTTAAGATGATTAATGCCCTGGTAATCTTCTTTGTGATTATCATCGACTTGCCCTCTAACCTACTATGGTCCACAACCTCTTGGACTCTATTACCATAGTGAATTTCAATTGACAAGGAATATCTGCTTGGTTGTTTATTGTCTTAAGTCTGTCCAAAAACCAGACAAATTGGTGATTTAGGAATTTATAATCTGCCTAKCTCATGCAAACATGCAACTGCAATTGCCCTACACATTATTTATCAAAATGTACCATATGTAAGCTTCTTTAGATGTATAAATATTTTCCACACAAAAGTCGAAAACAAGAATTTTGAAAGCATTGTAGCTAGAAGATTATTTAAGTTTTTTATGGTCTTAACTGGAATTACTTAAGTCAACATAATACCCCTTTCATATCTCTCTTTACAAACAGGCCAACTGAAAGGGTTACATTTTTGTGTTTCCACATATAGACAAAACACTATTAATAGTATGAAAATTATTACAACTTTTTCAACATTAACACCATGAAAGATAGTGTAAACAGTGAATATTCAACATAAAAAAATAATGAGATACAAGAGAGGTATAAATTGTTTTTTTTTTATATTTTTCAATTTTTTATTATCCTGYCATTACTTTTTCTTAGTAATGTATTTCAATTTTATCAAGTTATTTTATTTTTTATTTTTTCTTTAAATGGGAAAATAATGCTTGTTGCTTACACAGAAGTTTAAATTTAAGTATTTTGTATTTTCTTTGATGTGCTAATTGCCATCAGCTGTTCTTCATATTTCACTTTCAAAAGCAATTTTTCMTATGGAAAGTTGCACCAAAAGTCTTTTATATTTTTTCTATGTGCAGCAGATGTACATTTTAAGGGAAAACATAAGGGAAACACATARTTTTTATACAATATACAACTATAAATAGCATTTTCTATGGTTTTAAGTTGCAATTACATCTTGAACTCCATCTGTTAAGAGAAATTGAACTTAGTATAGCTGTTTTATTCCTTAAATTGTCATAAAAGGTATGTTCTCTTTTAGTACAGTGTATATACATCATTTTCTTTCATCTTGTTGAAAGTTTGAATCCATGATTTTCCATTAAAAGTGAATGTAAGTATAATAGATTGTCATTAAGTGGTGTTTTCAATGAATACTGTACATGAAAGCAGCTATTGGTCATTATCCAAGTATAACAAGAAAGTTTATAAGAAAAACAAATTAAATTCGTTTTACTATACACAGAGCGATTAATAATTATGTTCAGTTATACTGTTTTTATCAAAAGGATTTCCTTCCTTCCTAATCTCCTCCTAATAAATGAAAGAAAGAAATTAAAAATAACAAAGGAGCTGAATTTCTACTGATTCTATCAGCTTTGAATTACGAAGCTCTCTAACATAAAGATATCTGATAAAAATCTCATGATTGCAGCCCATTTGATGCCAATCCACTGCAATGAAAATCACCAAAGCTTGAGAAATAAGTTGAAGTTTTAGTAAACCTTAATCATTGGGTTACTGGTACATTTTTTCAGAAAAAATTCTCAGATTCTGATAAAATATTCTCACGTATTTTGGCATAGAAATTTAGAGTAAATGAGGTCATTTACTTAATCCTTTTGTTCTGTTATCTTCTCCACTATTTTTCCATGGATGACCCAGCTCCATAGCAAGCCATTCCATGTCAAGTTTCATAATAATAAAAATTATTAAAATATTGTATATTAAAACACACTCCTCAATAATTAACTTGAATTGCTAGGGGTTTCAAAGAATAACAGGCCTTTTCTATGTCATTTTTAAATGACTATTAAAATAGTTAATAATTTTAACAATGATATTAATTTTTATTATTTTGTACTTTTTGTGTTGAAAAATGAAGAGTTATTACTCCATAGCCTGCAGTACCAGCTTGTTATTGTGAATCCAAACTCTCACRATAAACTATTTAGCTCTAGGGCTGCTCTACTACACAATACTGGAATCTTTCTGCCAGCATACGTCTGGGAAAACACATGCTTAGAAACAGCTAGAGAACAACGGAGAATAATAACCCATAAATGCTTATAACAAGACTATGGTGTCAAACCAATTYGTTTTTATTACTTAACCACTTTTGCTATTGGTTTTGCTACATTTAGCTGATACATGCTTGCTTAGAATTTATGTATTAATTCATCACATATGATTGCCAGCTATTCAGAATAAGTTGCTATAATATATTGTTTTTTTTTTTTTTTGTGCTGTCACAAGATCATTGGCATGTTTCAAACAGTCTTTTATTTACAATATATCAAATCAAACAGAATTTTCTTATAGTTCTCCTGCTGCAGTTTTATATTTTTTTCTGATATTTAGGACTTCAATATTTTTCCAGTTTTTACACATTTTTATGTACTAAATTCTTTTAAATATTTTCTTATCATTTTACACTGTCTCTGTTTGCATTGAAAGCAGTAGGACGCATTGAAAGAATTAGAGAACCTTGTCTCTCAAGTATTTTCTATCTTCCACTGGGTGTTTATTCYGTATTCAGTAAATTTGTAGCACTACAGTTTTTGACGTACATAGATCTGGATGCATCCAAGATCACTGTTTGGTTGCCCCTAGCAACATATGATAATATTATTGATTGTCTCAAAATATCTCTATCTTTACTGTTCTAGAGAATAAGGACCAAAACTTATATCTACAACACCAATAGGGAAATGTTTCTTGTCATCAACTGAAATGACGTTGACACCACCTTGAACTTCCCATCATTAATCAACACTTTCTTGGATGGGATATGTATTTCAATAATCACTTCAAAGGAAATCATTTTATTTTCCTAGCTTAGTATCATTACTAGTGTTGGAAGTTTTGAATAGCTGTCTTGAAAGGCGTGAAAAACATTTCTGTAGCTGCTGTAAGTTYAGTATTCACTGCCGACTTGCTTGATGTAAAGAAACAGCAGATAAAAATGGTGCTTTGTAAAGAGAAATGTTTTCCACAATATTGAGAAAGATATCAAGCACTAGTAAATGAGTCAATTAAAATTCTACTTTTCATAAAACCTCTTTGATAATGGTGCTTTGTGCTTCAATGTCTCTTAATTGTAATCATTTCATTGCTCATACTCCATGATATTGACAAGGATATCAGAAAAACATTAGTTAATAGAATTAACRAAAGTATTTCAGTCATAAGTTACTRATGCATCAAGCTTTGACATAATGGTCTCAAGCTTTCTTGACAACYTTCTGACACTTGGAATTAGCTTAGGAAGSTTTAGTTGACATTTAGAATAAGTCATGCATCGAAATGTTTAGTTTTTGGAGGTTTGACAAGGTCTTAGAGACTGGGTGACATCTTGTAATAAAGCCAACAATTATTACAAGGTCCACTAGTAGATGGGTGAAATAAGGAATCTTTCTCACAAAGATATTTYACATAAACAAAGTCAGAATTGTAATTTAAGTTCCCTGAAATGAAMCAAACTTTGTCGTCAATAACAAATAGTCTTGAATTRGGCATTTATCTGCTACATGTAATTCAACAAGAATAATCTAAGTCAAGCACATTGCTGTCAACTCTGCTGGATCAGCAAGGAATCTCAAGATTTCCTGTGAATATTTCTCCTGGTCTCAAGATGACTATCATTAAATCTACTAGTTTTTCAAGAATAATGAAAAAGTCTCCTGGTTAGTCCCCTAATTAAAGGAGTGTCAGAGAAAAAATGGCATTTTAATTTTAATTTTTATTTTGTTTGGAATTCCTGAAAAAAAATGGGGATCTCATGATAACAACATTGTCCACAGCAAAAGAAACATATTATATGAGAAGAAGCAGTTAAAAATGTTGATTGGCTGGGAAATCATGCGAGAGCATGCTATCACAATAAGGAAATTATGAACCCTGATATAAAATAGCTGTAATAGACTGGGTTGTGGCTATTATATAGACAAATTTGGGTTGTCACTTAGATGTAGTCATTTTCTTAGTTTTTTTTTAGGGTCATAAATTACTTATTACTCATGTATGCTGTGACAGCTTTACTTGGCTATAGTAATAGCCTCTAGAATTAGGTTTTATTTTGGTTATAAATATTTCTTTTTTCTATTACCTTTATCACATTATTCATGCTTGGTGAGAACATTAGCGGACTACAACATTACATCTCTATTCTTTAAAAAGTTAATCTATTTTTAAAGCTAATTGAGCTTTGGACAACCTGGACCTGAAATATTTATTTTGTAATAAAAGCAGCAAGGTTCTTTTGAATTAAACATGTATCCATATGTACACAAAATGTTTTTATGTTTGGAGATTTTTTTGTATGATGGCATGTATAGATACACATATTTTGAATGAATATTTCTTTATATTGTAAGCCGCAAATGATTACTTATTTATAAGATATAATTGTTTAATTTTTTTGTTCTTTTTTAACTGGAAAAATTGTCAATATATTTATTTTTTTCTGGCTGAATGATGGAAGATATGCCACTATAGACTCCTAGATATACTATAGTTTTGTTTTTAATATATATTGCAAAAGTATTTTATAGCAAAATCRATATAGCATTATCTGTGCTATCAGTGGTGACAGCAAAGAGTGATTAAAACTAGTCGAACTCTACTCAATAATAATATAAGTCCCATGTGAATACCAAGATCGACCCACAGATAGCTCAGATAACATCAATTTTTAATAAAAAATCTTCAGACTGAATTTCTCATTAAAAAATGACTAGTTATTGATATGGCATCATTCATTTTCAGCTTCTTGCCAATCTATTTCTGTTTATATGTGCAAATCTTACTGGAGTGTTTACGCACTACCCCACCGAGATATCACAGAGACAAGCCTTCCTTGAGACAAGGAGATGCATAGAGTCAAGATTAATAAGTCAAAAGGAAAACCAAAACCAGGTATAAGMTGTGACTTTGTGGTATGATTCKTATTAAAAATTCTAATGTTAAGTGTGTCARTGGCCCTGTTTTGCTACAACRTCACAACAAAGCTTTCTAAAGTGTGAACACTTATGGTCTTAAGGGCAAAACAACAGCAGGGGCAACAACARCAATATAATTATGTTAATTTATGTGAAATTAATTAGAAAKTRCTAGAAAAAGACMGYTTATTCCAAAGATTTTTTTGAYAGCAAATCTGTCCCCAAGSTAAACATTCTGTAAATCAGGTAATCGCAAAACTTGGCAATCAAGTCAAGTTAGAATATTATAGAATATGAAACTAAGAGTATGATATTATTCATGAGTGATCAAGAGTGGAGATTTGATTGGTAGACATAAGCCTATCACAAGCATGGATCTATACATGTTAAGCAGTCATTATTAATTGTAATGTGAATCCCATCTTATTTTGTAGGAACGTCTTTTGCTGTCTGTTTTACCTAGAAATGTAGCAAAGGAAATGAAAGATGATATTGAAAATGGAAGATCYGAGAAAAAGCAATTCCATAAAATCTATATCAAAAGACATGAAAATGTCAGGTATGATTGCTTATAAGTTATTCTWAGTTTTATTACAAAATTATTATTTAGTTATTATAATTTTTATGATTGTATGTTATTGTTTTTAATAGTGTTTGCTATTATTTAGGCATGTACTTTCTGTCAGTTTTGTAGTTTTCTCCATTTTTGCTGMATTGCATATATAGAGGATATTACATGGACACACGGAAATACTAATTTTATCTTTGAGTGTTCAATCGATATCTCACCAGTGAGCGTAGCGAGAAGATAAAATTAGTATTTCCAAGCGGCCATGTAATGTTACATATCGATTTATTATAGAAATATTGATCTAATTGGCCAAAAAAATATGAAGATAATGTGAATTTGCTAATGATTCTTATTCTGTTATTTATTGTTTTCTTTGTTTATAGTATATTGTTTGCTGATATTGAAGGCTTCACTGTGTTATCGTCCATGTTTACTGCCCAGAATCTTATCAAGACACTCAAYGAACTCTATGCCAGATTTGACCAGTTGGCTGTTGTAAGTTGMCAATGCTACTTAGGTGATCCTGTGGGGGTGGGAGAGGGGGGTGGTTATGCTTGGACACGAACCCAATGCATATTTATATTGTATGTGCACTCTCTTTGATGTGTAACCAAACAATTTTTTTTGTTTGTAACAGGAGAATCACTGTTTGCGGATCAAGATTCTGGGAGATTGTTACTATTGTGTGTCAGGTCTTCAAGAACCTCGCCCTGATCATGCTCATTGCTGTATTGAAATGGGACTGGCGATGATTGATGCCATTTCGTAAGTATTTCMTTTACCTCCTTTATTAACTTATCAGGATATTTTGACTTGGCTTCATTGTTTAATATGTTATAATATTTCTGTCAATAAAGGTTCAGTTGTTTTTGTGATCAACACTTACATGTATATTAAAGTTGAGAAAGGAACTCTGTAAGTGCCTTTCTGTCCATGAGGTCAAATGGAGTAATACTATTTATTTCAACCTTGTAATCTGACAAGGCAAGGCAGGAAATTCCTTGACTTATTTCAAAACATGACTCATTTGTCAATTTTGTTTTATTAGAATATATTATAATGCTAGGTACATTAGCCAATCAGGATGCAGGATAAGTGTTACATKCAGTGTAATACTAGTAACCATAACTCACAAACCAGTTTTACTTGTTTACAAACTGGATTAGCCTRTTTTCAAACTGACTGTTTCCAGAAGGGCTYGCCTTGTTTCTATATTTAACCTGTGTTGCTTCTGATGTCAAATGTAATAATAATAATAATAATTTTCATATGTCAGACATTTGGACTGTGTAGCTGTGCAAAAATGTTATTAAAACAGACATTTTGGCTATGTGAAAATAATTAAGTTAAAATATCCTCCTAAAGTCGGAGATGAGGCAATCTTTTGTAAAAACATGACTGCAAATTTTTATTCATCAGAACATTATACCAAAACAATATCTTKWGCAGCACTTCCCTTCCCATACACTATTATGATATAATATATACTATTATATTACAGCARTAWTCAGAAATAATGATCTTTTTTGYTCATATTTCAAGCATATATTAAATATATATATCAGAAATTATATCAAATATCATTGCCAATATTTTTTTCAGAAAGTACTTAGTGCTAGGCAACTTCTAAAAAATATTGGGGATGATATCCCAGAATTTTAATAGATGTTTGTGTAGACCTTGGTCTGCTAATAAATAAGTAAAATAAATAAATATAGGGTACACCCATCCATACTAAGGAACAATACTAAGGAATAATAATTAATTTTATGATACTCAATATTAGTAGTAGTGATTAAAAATATAAGACAATATTATAAGGTTTATATTTAAAAAATGAAGATTTTATAATATAAGAATAATCATGATAGATTTGGTTTTTGTTTGATTTTTGGAAATAGAAAAAATTTCTTTTGTTATCATTGATTGTGAGTGTTTATTGTGTTAGATATGTACGTGATGCAACCAAGGTCAACCTCAACATGAGAGTAGGCATTCACCAAGGAAGAGTACATAGTGGTGTCTTAGGATTAGTCAAATGGCAGTATGATGTATGGTCTAATGACGTCACCATAGCCAATCACATGGAATCTGGTGGTTTACCAGGGTAAGTTACTTACAAAATCACTCTGAAATATTAAAGTTGATTATTATACCATATTGGTAGTAAAAATTCCCCCAAAAATATAAAAGAACGTAAAGATCATTGTATATTTTAATTTTTCTGAATTATTTTTAGGCGTGTTCATATAACTAAGGATGTCCTTAGCTGTTTGAATGGAGACTACGTCGTAGAAGAGGGAAATGGCAAAGATAGAGATTCATTCCTAAAACAATACAACATTCAAACATATCTTGTTGTTGCAAATGAATCTGTGAAGGTATATAGTTCAGAAGAAACCCTTCTTATATCTGTATTGTACTTAAATACTTGACTTGGTTTTGTTTTAGATGTAGCATACAGGTAGACGGTAGCTTAGAAGGATTCATAAATTCAGGTAGTGATGCCAGATCAGAATATGATTTTAGGAGATTATGGAGAGATAAGTGGTCTTTCACAATGACAGGACATGGGTTAATTTCCAACTTAAGAAAAATGTTTTG